ACCACGAAAAACCAAGAAACATCATCCATGGCAACCCCCAGCCCCACCAGATTATCCCTTGCCATGGAGAGAACCGGGCAATGGTAAACACCACTCTAATCCTTCATTCTCCAATGCACAATTTCATGAATCAATTAGGGATGTGCTAATTTTAGTTGTTATAGGAATAATATTCACATGAGTCAATTGTTATTGCAGGATTTTCTCCCCAGAAATCCCAGCCGATGTTATTGTTACAGTAGGGGAAGCCGATTTTTCTCTACACAAGGTACCAAAATTTTTCACTTTTACAAGGAACTTCATGATTAATTCTTCTTATATCTGTGAATTTGTGTATTGAATTTATAAGTGCTGTATTTTTTAACAGTTTATTCTGGCGGCAAAGAGCAACTACATCAGAAAGGTGATAATGGAATCAGAGGAGAGTGACCTAACCAGAATAGACCTCACGAACATACCTGGAGGCCAAGAAGCTTTCGAGAAATTAGCGAAGTTTTGTTACGGCGTCAATTTCGAGATCACCGTACACAACGTCGCTCCGTTGCACTGCGCCGCCGTATTCCTGCAGATGACCGACGAATATTGCAACGGAAACCTCGCTGGAAGAACGGAGGATTTCCTCTCTCAGGTCGGCGTCTCCACTCTCCACAGCGCCGTCGCGGTCCTCAAGTCCTGCCAGCAGATTCTTCCCTTCGCCGCCGAAGTCAACCTCGTTGACCGCTTCGTTGACGTAATCAGCTCCAAGGCTTGCAGTGAGGCGAACTTTCCGAGCCAGTCCCCGCCGAACTGGTGGACGGAGGAACTCGCCGTGTTAGACGTAGATTCCTTCGCGAAGGTGATTGCCTCCATGAAACAGCGCGGCGCTAAGTATCTAACCATCGCCGGAGCGTTGATCACATACACCGAACGCACGCTGCGGGAGCTCGTCCGCGACCACAGCGGCGGCGGAAGAGGAATCGTGTCGTCAAATTCCGGCGATTCGGATTCGGAGTCGAGAAGAAGCGAACAACGCGAGATTCTGCAGTCTATTGTCCCGCTCTTCCCGACGGAGAAAGCAGCGTTTCCAATCAACTTCCTCTGCTGTCTCCTGCGGTGCGCGATCTATCTCCGCGCGTCGAGTTCGTGCAAGCGCGAACTCGAGAAGCGCGTCACAGAGATCCTGGAGCACGTGACGGTGGACGACCTCCTCGTGATTACATTCACCTACGACGGCGAGAGGCTCTTGGATCTGGACAGCGTGAGGAGGATCGTCTCCGGCTTCGTGGAAAAGGAGAAGAGCACGACGGTGTTCAACGCAGGCGCCAACTTCAACGAACACTTCTCCGCCGCGATGCAGCGCGTGGCCAAAATCGTCGACGCTTACCTCGCTGAGATCGCCGCCTACGGCGAACTCTCCATCTCTAAGTTCAACGGCATATCCATCCTCATTCCCAGAGGCGCTAGAAAATCCGACGATGATCTATACCGCGCAGTCGATATCTACCTCAAGGTACACAGATTACGTAATCAAGTTCCCAGAAAAAAGGATTAACTAAAGAAAACGACAAGAACGTTTTTTTAATCACCGTACTTAGTTGCTTGTTTATCTTAATAAACCCTAAATTTCAATACATTTGGCCAATAACTGAATAACTACCATTATGGTAACACACTTAAAATTGGGGTTAAATTATTTGAATTAATCATTAATTTAGTATTTGAATTTTCCTTCTTGTTTTTTCTTTTTTCTGGGACTGAGTATCTTCATTTCTCTTTAAACTCTTGAAGTAATTAAATTGTATATATCGGATATCTATCAGTTCAATTGTTAAGTTATCTTACTGACATTCAATAACTAATTTACATAATTAATTAACTTGATTTCTAATACTTAAAAAGTTTTCACAATATCAACATTCATTCTAATAGAGTACAAAGTATATATGTAATTTTCTGAATATTAGAAATTATACGTTAAATAATGTTTTAATATTAACAATTTCTTACAGCAACTTTGATACATCAGCATAAAAAGTTGTGCAGAAATTTAATATACAATGATAAAGCTTTTGGGAAGAAAAAAATAGTTTATATGTTACTCAATTTGAAAACATTCTTTAAATGATTTATCTAAATTTTTAGTTTGAATTATACCTTTATTAATTTTAACTGAAAGAAAATTATATTAAAATTTGTCTAAAATATCATTAATCATACAATTTCTTTCGTACAAGTATTACAAATTGGAATTTAGCAAAGGCACAGTCTAACCTAGACCTAATCAGTGATGAAGTAACTAACTAACTCCATACGCGCTCACTCGTGTTGTTGCAGGTGCACCCGGACCTGGACGAGATAGAGAAGGAGAAGGTGTGCAGTGTAATGGACCCACTGAAACTATCATACGAGGCGCGTGTGCACGCGTCGAAGAACAAGCGATTGCCGTTGCAGATCGTGCTTCACGCGCTGTATTACGACCAACTACACCTAAGGAGTGGTATGGCGGAGGACAAGGAGGCGGTGGCGGTGGCAGCTGCAGTGGAGAAGAAACAGCTTCAAGCTGACGTGTCGCTGGTGAGGGAGAACGAGGAGTTGCGATCGGAGCTGATGAAGATGAAAATGTACATTACCGATTTGCAGAAAAATGTGCAAGGAACGTCGTCGTCTGGGAAGGAAACTGCTGGGCCTGCTAAAAGGCCCACATTTTTCTCATCCATGTCGAAGAAACTGAGCAAATTGAACCCGTTCAAGAATGGGTCTAAGGACACGTCACACATCGACGATGCCCCGGTGGACTTGACCAAGCCCAGAAGGCGAAGGTTCTCCATTTCCTAGATTTCTTCCACTCAGCCACCGTCTCTGTTCTTACTGAATTCAAATTTCTATGTTTTTTTAGTCAAAATACATCCCTCTTCGTTAAAAGTATTTTTTTTAAAATTAGTTACGTTTCTTTTTGTCTTTATTGTTATTTTTTTTTGTAATGAAGGTGTCAATTTGTAATTAATAAAAAGAGTGAAGTGTGATTGGATTTCTTATACTAGTTTCAGTGTGAATTAATGATAATTACAATTCAATGTTCTGATTGGTCCTAACTTCCCATCTTCTTTGCTTCTGCCATCATATTTTCACTCGCTTGTATTTTTTAAACTTGACAAATACATTAATTAATCAATATTTGTCTAGACGTTCAGTTTTGAAAAGTTAACATAAAACATAAATACGATTTGTTCTTGATAAAAACCATATGAAAGTAAACTTCAAGAAATCATAAAAAAGTTAACATAAAATATAGATAAATACAAAATTATTATATAGAATTTCCAAATTTAGATGAGATTTGGAGGTCAAATCGTTATCATAAACCTTTGGTTTAATACTCTTTTTGGTCCCAAGGGGGTAAATATTTAATTGCGTCATACGTTTTTTTCGAAGTTCAATGTGTTTCCGACTTATGAAAAAAATGTACAATTAAGTCTTTTTTTGTGACGGCGTTAATTTTTTAACGGGCCAGCTAACAGGGTGGACTGAAGTTTGCAACGTGTATGGGGAAGGTTAATACGTGGCAACCCTAATTCCCAAACCCTAACTTCCTTGTGCCGCCAACACCATTGGCAACCGTAGGCCGCCGTCAGCTACCCTCCCATCTTGCCGCAACTTCGCCTCACGCTTCAGGCTCCCTAAAGCTGTGATTTAGAAACCATGGTTGAGCGATCAGAATTACAATTTGGATCTGGAATCTCTGTCTAGATTTCTTTTCTTGCAGGTGCTCGTGCTTTGCGAAGGTGGAGAAACCATGGTGTGCAGGTTGCGATCTAGAGGTGCGACGTGATGGTTCTACCGTACGAAGAAGATGATGAACATTGGCCATGGTGGGTTTCTATCGTAGGGGGAGATGACGCGATTTAGGTCTGGTGGAGGCGCTGATGGCTAGCTCAAGGTTGGGCGAAACTCACGAGTAGATGAATTGAAGAGTTGTGGCGGTGATTTAGGTTTCGAAAGATTTTTGGAATTGGGGATTTCTCCGTTTGGGTTTCTACAGGTGTGTGCGAGAGAGTGCTCTTGCAATGGTCATGGTGGATGACAGTCCTTGCAACTCTACGACGACCTGAAAAGTGTCTCATGGTGGAAATGGAAGTCGAGGAAGATGCTGAAAATGATGATGAAGGACTCGAGACTTTGGCGTTCGCGTTCTGTATTGGTGACGGTGGTGGCTACCGGCGGCGACGCTGGTGTTGGGTGATGGCGAGGTTGCGGCAAGATGGCAGGGTGGCTGACGGCGGCCTACGGTTGCCCATGGTGCTGGCAGCACAAGGAAGCTAGGGTTTGAGAATTAGGGTTGCCACGCAGTCAGAGAAACTGTACACGTCATTAATTTTTGTCTAGGGTGACAGCTGCACCGTTAAAAAATTAACACCGTTACCAAAAAGGACTTAATTGCACATTTTTTTTCATAAGTCGGGAACACATTGAACTTCGAAAAAAACGTAGGACGCAATTGAACATTTGTTCCCTTTCGAGGGACCAAAAGAGATATTAAACCTAAACCTTTTGATCTAACAGTATCAAACAAATTGAATTCTCACTCCCACCTCAGCTCAATAAAATTGTAAAGAGATTAGGGAATAGAATGCTGCTTCCCAACAACACCACTAGCAAGAGATTAGTGATAACTACTTTTGCATGTTCCACTAGCAAGAGATTAGTGATAACTACTTTTGCATGTTTCTCAGGATTTCGTTAATCTCTTGCATTTGGATTTTGATTTCTTATCATAAATGGATTCTCTATAATGCAATGTATTGAATTTTAGCCTGTTTTCTTATGAATCTGGTCAGAGGTGGTTGCAGTGGCTTGAGGTGGTGGTTTATTTATAAAATGGGAAGTGCACATTCAAGGAAACAAAATTTGAAAAATGAATGTAATGGTGTAAATAGCAACTCGCATGTTTGGGGCTGAATATTGGGCCAACTTATTTGAGTTCGGGCCCAATACCCTTCTCAGACAAGAAATAACCTTTGTCATTTCCTTGTTCTAATTCCTCCATCCCGTTGGGAGCACGAAATTGCAAAACCTAGCCTCTGCTTATGTATGCGTCGCCGGAATCTACAGAAGAACAGGCAAAACAGAGGGTTATTCCAATATTTATCGGTGATAAGATACACGTTTGAAGATAGATAGCGATATTCAATATGTCATCGAATAAGAGCGAAGAGAAATCTCAGGCCGCGGCGGACAGAATTAAGGCGGCGGCGTTGACTGCGGCGAAGGGGCTTAGCCGTGCGCAGGCAGAGCGGGCAGCGGCAGCGGCTGCGCGGAACGTGAATGCGTACGGGCAGAAGGAGGAGGGGCCCAGCCGATGGCAGGAGAAGAGGGAGGCGAAGCGGCAGATGTATCTTATGAGCACCGAAAAGGCCGTGAAATTGGGCGAAAGGAAGGATCTCAAGCCTTCGAGATCCGCTTCTGGCGGCGCCGCGCAGTGCCAGAAGTGCTTCCAAAGCGGACACTGGACTTACGAGTGCAAGAATGAGAGGGTTTATATTTCTAGGCCTTCCCGGACGCAACAGCTTAAAAACCCTAAACTGAGGGTCGATACGCCTGTCGCGTATGATTTGGATTTGTATGGCGATGTTCCTGATGGTGATGATAAGGAGGAAAAGGAGAAGAGGAGGAGGAAGAAGAAGAAGAAGAGTGAAAAGAAACGACGTCGTTATGATTCAGATAGTGAGAATGACAGTGGGAGTGATGCATCTTCTGCCACCGGATCGGATTCTTCCTCTGAGAGTAGTTCTGGTTCTGATTCGGAGGAAGAACGGAAGCGGAGGAGGAAGAAGCAGAGGAAGAGATCAAGACGCAACCGGAGGAGTTATAGTTCATCTTCAGGGTCGGAGTCCGATGCAGATTCTGGTTCTGACTCTGATTCGGATGATAAGAGCAGCCGGAGGAAGAAGAGGCGTAGTCGTAGGCGTTGAATGAGATCGTGGTCAGGTCCATGGAGACAATCATCAAGATTCTGCGATATGGTGCTTGTTTTTTGTTTGGCAATGGGTAATGTAGAGTTTTGCTTGATGTTGATTTGGATGTTTGTTTATCCTTTATTGTTTCGAAATTTTAATTCGTGGTACTTGCAACTTAGGTTTATTTTTTCAACATTTAATTTTGTGGATGTGCTTTGTGTTATTGTTAGCTGCTCAAGAAGTTGGATGATATTTCCAATTTAAGCTATCGTATAATTCTGTGGTACTTTCACACTCATTTTTTTTGCCCAAGAACAAGTCTTGTCACCACTAGCCTCTAACACAATGTCATCGAAGTTCTTGTCACTCTTTATTCTTTCGCCAAAATTTAGCCGCTGGTCCTACTTGTCCTTTTCCGTGTCCATCCCTTGTTTCATCGTTAGCATCTCTGCTTTGTTTTGTGCAGGTTCAATTCTCAGTTTGCAGTTCTTGTGTCAAGGTAGTCTGCTACCATAACCGTTGTAAAATCTTTATATCAAGCTATAGGAAATGACTCCCAGTTTTGGCTCCAAACGTAGAACCAATGTATTGCAACACCCTCAAAGAATTTAGCAATCCAACCAATTCGGTCTGCCCCTACAACCGCTGACAACTCTTCCTTCTTAGCCCAAATGTGTGTTTCTTCCATCTCTAGCACTGGCACTATCCTGAAGACCCGGCTGGTAGGATCAATTTGTTAGGAACCAAGAATTGCAAAAGGAAAGGAAATAATTTTTTTTATTCAATAATGAAAAGAACAAGAAATAGGGGAGCTCTCTCTCCTCCAGGGGTTTCCCCTTTACGAAGAGCTAATGTTCAATCTTCAAAATGAACTCCCCACCCCCCTCCTTTACTCTAATATTCTCTTGTTTATTAGTATGATTGGCGTGACCCATGATATCCTTCGAAGTAGTGACTACTTTATTTCCTTTTAAACTCTCTTAACAGAACCCCAAGAGTTTTTGATTTTCATGCTTCTGGCGATGAATGTTTTCTTCTGCTCTCAAATTCTTGTTACCTTACTTTATTAATCTAGATTACTTTAAAAAAAGACACAATTTAGTTTTTCTGCATCTAGATTCCTTAAACTAACTGATTTTGAGCTATTTCTTCCCTCTGTTAGCATACTGTCAATCATGTTTCTTAACTGGATTCTTGTTTCCTTTTTTTAATTAGGGTCGGTTGTGTTATTCTATTTCTTCTGGCTATGTATGTTTTCTTCTGGCGATGTATGTTTTCTTCTGCTCTCAAATTCTTGTTACCTTTATTAATCTAGATTACATTAAAAAAAGACACAATTTAGTTTTTCTGTATCTAGATTACCTTAAACTAACTGATTTTGAGCTACTTCTTCCCTCTGTTAGCATACTGTCAATCCTGTTTCTTAACTGGATTCATGTTTCCTTTTTTTAATTAGGGTCGGTTCTGTTGTTCTATTTGTGGGTTTGTGCTTGTGTAAGGAATATTACTATATCACGTCATTTTAAAGCTCTAATGCTACCTAATACTTAATTCTCAGTATTAATAAATAGGTCTTCTGGATTAGTATTTTCTATCACATCTGGTACATCATTAGACAATATATCAGTGTAATGGATTATTGAAACCCTCATTTTCTTCCTTCCCTGCCTAAACCGTATGATTTCTACAATTTTGGAAAAGTTTGTCTCTCAGTATGGCTTGATTGGAATCTATTCTCCCCAGTATTGGTCATTGAAAACTTTTTTTCTATTTATTCATAAATTGCTGAAATGCATAGAATATGGCATTTATAATTTTTCGAGTTTCATTACTGAAATCAGAAAATGCAATATTATAATGACAGTATATTTTCTCTGTTGTTCGCTATGTATGAAATTAAATTAGTATTCTTTTGGGACATACGAAGTTTTTATATTTTATGTAGGCCATTTTCTTGTTGAAATGCTAAATAAGCTCCTTAAGACTTGGTGCTGAAACTCGTTGAGTTCACTCCTATTACTTGCAAGTGGCCCTGCCATCCATTAAATTCTAACTTGCATATCTGTTCCAGTGTCCACAAATATCAATGCATATATGATGTGTAGGTGGAAGAAGTTTCACTGTAACGCCTTTAATCTGAAATGTTTTAATCTCTTAAAGTAAAAGATATGCTTGTTTGAATGCAATTTATAGTACAACTTAAAGTCTGTACGTTTAAAAACTACTCATTTTTGCTGGTTATGGAGGTTTTCTGAAATTTCTGAATGTATGTAGGCACTTGCTCCAGGGGAAGAATGCATGGCGGGGATTTTTGTTTGGTGTAACCCAACTTGTGGCAACCGTTGTGGGGACTAGGGACTCTTCGTAACTTGGTCAAGCGAAGGTTCACCGTAGGGGTATTCAGCATATCGCATTCTTCACTAGTGGATATTTTTGCTCACTGGTTATTAAAAAACAACTATTCGCCCTCACTCTTTAAACTCCAATTAATTATTCTTGACATAATTAATGATCTAAACCTTTAGTTTGTGGACTATTAAAGAAGTTTGCATTTAGTTTGTGAACTCCTGAATATTTAATTAAACGGCAATGATTAGTATTCGTGAGGACGTGTAACAACAATAATCATGTATGTTTGGATTGATTTCATTGTTTAAAATATGATGTTTAATGTATCTTTAGCTTAACTTATGTTTTTGGATTGATCAAGATGAATTAGCAGGAATTGAAACAATGCTACAATTAACTTTTCATAATTGTTTACATTGTTTAAAACATGATGTAATATACCAAAAGAAATGTATTTATCTCATTCTATCGAGCAAATATGTGGAACAAAAATTATTTGGACTCACAAGTTCTCCAGTTAATTAGCATAAACTTCACGATATTTTCTTTACTAGGTTACGAGGTTTCAATTTGTTTCAGTAAGTATAAAATTTATGGATTAATTGTTTTCGTTTTCCAAGTGTTTATTGAATAATATTCATTAAGCTATTTATTCTAGTATGCTAGGATTGACATAGGACAAAATCATAATTGATGATTTTTTTTACCATTTTGCCATTTCCTGTTCTTGTCTAATATACTCGTCCATGGAATCACAGAATGTTTCACTGATGAAAGTGGTTTCTAGTCAGTTCAATATTCCCTTTTTGTTAGTCTTTCGAGGAATTAATGTTGTTATAGAAGTGAATGTAAAATTAATATTTTATTAATGTTACTTTAATTTGGATTTAGTATTCAATCTAATTCTCTTTGATTTTTTAAATTTATTTATTTCTAGTTGTTTTCTTGTATCAGGGGATGGAACATCCTAAATGTTTTTGTGAACAATACATTTTTACTAGAAGCGAAAGGGATTCTTAGAAACTAATTTTTGTTTACCAATTTATACTGTATTGAACTGATTACTAACTTGGTTGATTCCGCAGATTTGTTATTGTCCAAAATTTTAATTCAATTATTTAATTTACGTTTAAATTATATTGATAATTTAGTCTAAAATTTATTTGATTTTAAATTTTCTGTTAGTACGAGAGAAATTGATTTATAAATTTAACTAACTAACAAGTATATAATCTAATTAAATCAAACCATTGAATAATGAATCCGTAGGACTCTTATTATATATTCGACACTGGATTTATTAAATTTAGAGAAATGCATTTTACACTTGCATTATTTATTATGTGAAAGGAAGAAGAATAACACTCATTTAGGAAAGCTCATTTAGTAAACTATAATTTATGTTCCACAAAATTTGTTCAGAAAATTTGTCTCGCAAAACTCATTTCATGTGTTCTGGAAAGCTTGTTTTGGACTAAAAAACTTGTTCAAGAAGACATCGTATGTATTCTAGAAAGCACGTTCTGAAAATTATATTTTGGAAAGTTTATTCCAGAATGCATTTCATGTGTTATGAAAAATTTGTTGATAAAATCATGCTCCAAAAATTTAAGAAACCTTGTTCCGAAATTTTTTTTGGTATAGGTAATGCGAAAGTCACTTTGTTGAACGGTACAATTGTCATTTTAAAAATTACAAAATGTATATTGAAATTATGGCGGTGCAGGAAGATAAAGCTGAAAGACATTATGTATTTCAAACTTTGCAGAAAATGATTCCATATGGGATGGGCCTGGTCTGATGTTTCTTGGGCCTTAAAAAGTTCAAACACAAAGCATTCGAGGTTACTCCCTCCACCACCCCAACTTCTCCCTTCACCTCTCCATATTCTTTTATTCCAAAAATACACTAGGTTAAAATTTTTTTCTTTTATCTTTGCCTTTTTTTTTTTTACCATTTTTAAAACTCTAATTCATTCATTTGCAATCCCCACCATCTCGCTTTTCTCTTTCTCTGTTTGCAAACAAACTCCACCCTCTCACTTTCTCTCTTCCTCTCTTCTTCACACGCCACCCCCCTCACTTTTCTCTTTCTTTGTTTGCACATAAACCTTTCCCCCTCACTTTCTTTCTTCCTCTCTTCTTCACATAAAGTCCCCATCCCCTTCCTGTCTCTCTTCCTTCTTCTGTTCCACATTTTTGTTGTTAAAGCTTCGTTATTTTGGTGCTTGATTCGTGCTCCTGCTCGGTTCGTGGTGTAGATCGCGTTGTGGAGTTTGGTGCTCGGTTTCATTTGGTCTCCCATCCAGGTTAGTGGTTCGTTTGGAATTTTGGTTGATTGGTTGTTGATTTGAATGTATATAATCTTTGTGTTGTGTATAAATTTATTGGATGTATGTGTTATGTTATGTAAGAGGTAGAAGAAGAGAATCGCAAACCCTTAAACGATGTGGGAAATCCGTTTAACCTTCAATGGATGTTGAGATCCGTCGGCGGATGTCGAAATCCGTTGAAGACTGAACGAATTTCCCATATTCGTTCAAGCCTTCGCGTTTCAAATCTTTTAATTTTTTTTTGTTTTGTTGTTAGTTTATTAATTTATTTTTTTGTAGATTTTATTATTTGAACATTGTAAATGTTAATTTCTGTAGATTTTTTGTAATTTAATAATTTTTGTATTATTATTGATGTATAAAAAAGTTGTTAAAACAAAAAAGAAAATGTTTAATGACTTCAACGGATTTGGAAAATCCGTTTCCGTTGAGCCTTTAATGGATATTGATATCCATATAAGTCTTTAATGGATATTGATATCCGTTTAATGTAAATATGTTTTAACCACCAGAAATTAAATATTTTATAGGAGCAAAAAGAGAATGGAAAGGTGGAAGTAGAAGTCTGTGGTAATGTAGAGAGTAACTCTCAATAATTCGGTGTATAATTGTACCATAATACTTTATTCTCCAAAAATTAGAAAGGTTGTGACATTACTTTTCAAATACATGGTTAGATAAGGCTTTGAAATTAAAAATAATAAGTAAATAAACATTATTTTTTTAATATTTTAATTTTTAAAAATTCGTTAATACTATCATATAAACTAAAAATTTTATTTCCAACTATATAGTTTAGTGTTTGTAATAAATATCTAGTAAAAAAAACATCAATATAGACAAACAAAAACAATTATTCAATATTTCATCTTCAAAAAGAAAAGACGAAATGAATATCATTTGGTAAATCTTGGACAAATGTTTGTTTCAATAACCAAATATTTAAAATAATAAACATTGATTATTATCATTATTTCTATTATCATGGCCAACCTTACCAATATTATTTCAATGTCATTTTTATATTTATATCAATACAATTATATTAAGATAATTATTTTTTTAAAATATTGTAGTAACTTTAGGTTTATTTTCTTGTCCTCTGTTCATTATCCATTAAATATTTATCTTATATTCATCATATAACAAACTTGTTCCAATCGTCACAATAACATTGCTAGTATTTTTTATTTTTTTTCAAACAAGAGTTAGAAATATTCCAAGAGAAAAAATATTTTAAATTCCCTTGAAAAAACATGATTACTTCGAGAAAACTTGATAGGAAAAACAATTATTCTATTATTCTTAGTATATTTTTCTATAACGTATATCAATGACAAAAGAATTTCAATTTCAATTTTATTAAATTTACTGAGTGGACCTTTTGCATTTATTGGGCCGTGTCTGTGTAACATTGTCTGGTAGTGTGGTCTGGAAGGTAAAATGCAAAGCAGAAGTACACACTCCAAAACAAACCCAAAGATTTAACAAAGGAATAATTAGGCTGAATACCCTATTTTGTCCCCAGTTTTGCTCGAAAATGTCAAATTAGTCCATCCTTTAAAAAATGCGTCAATTACGTCCTCACTTAATAAAATTTGCATCAATGAAATCCCTTCCGTTAAATCCGTACAAACGGCGTTAATTATTTTTCTCTCTTATTAAGTAACGCTGTTTGTACGGATTTAACGGAAGGGATTTCATTGATGCAAATTTTATTAAGTGAGGACGTAATTGACGAATTTTTTAAAGGATGGACTAATTTGACATTTTCGAGCAAAACTGGGGACATAGGGTATTAAGCCGGAATAATTAATATAGGGGACCATGGTCCATGCTCGGAGGACCATGTCACTCTAGCTCTCACTCACTTCACGCAACAAAAATAAATTAATTTTTGCATCTGTTTCATGTTCTTAATTTTTATAGAAATACCTATAAAATAATTACATTGATCTTTCATTTATCGTCACATCTGCAATTCACATTAAAAAGTTACAATTTCCCAAGAATCATTCATTAATGCACCCTAACTTTTTTCTTTTTTAAATGTTCATGTTTTATACTATTGGGAACATTTAATTAACTCGTTTCCTCAACAACTCTGTAAGGAACTTTTTCTAATCTTAATTTTGTTTCAATATTAAATGAAAATATATTGTTAAACTATCGACACTCAATTATTCATCAAATATGTATTTTACGTCAAAACCAAATAAGATTAGGTATTATTCTATACTAAATCACAATGCAGAATTATATAATTGTATACGAATTTATATAAACGTAATTATGTACAAAACTATTAGTGTCAGGTTTTTTTAAGGGTTTTTTTAGGATAGTTCCAATAAATTTGGGATCACACTTTAACGTGTGATCCAATCGTTTTGGTTCAGTGTAAATGATTATAAATGGCCTGTTTTATTATTTGAATGATAAGTTTTGTGCGTTTTTTCTCTCCAAGCATCCTATTTCTTTTATTTACCTTTTAGATTAACAACTGGTATTAGAGCTCCATAAGGGGCCTGATCCAAACCGTGAGTGAGTGATTTCTTCCATCTCCCTCTTAGTAAAATGATAACTCCAAAATTTGTGCAACCTGCCATTTCCAAATTTGATGGTCATTATGACTTTTGGACAATGACCATGGAGAATTTCCTTAGGAGCAAGGAACTATGGAGTCTTGTGGAGGTTGGTATACCTACTCTTGTAATTGGCTCAGGATCCAGTGGTGAGGCTCACAAGGGAATTGTGGAGGCAACCAAATCAATGACTTGAGGGTCAAAAATTTTCTCTTTCAATCAATTGACAGGGAAATATTGGAGACTATCCTTGACAAAAGTACATCACGGGCAATTTGGAATTCTATGAAACATAAGTATCAAGGGTCTACAAGAGTGAAACACGCACAACTTCAAGCATTGAGGAAAGAATTTGAGCTACTCACCATGAAAGAAGGAGAAAAAGTGGACTACTTTCTATGTCGCACCATGACTATAGTGAGTAAAATGAAGTCCAATGGGGAAGTAGTGGAACAGAGTGCTGTGGTGAGTAAAATATTAAGATCTCTAACCCCTAAATTCAACTACATCGTTTGCGCAATAGAAGAGTCAAATGACATTAATATTCTCACCATTGATGAGTTACATGTGAGTCTATTGGTGCATGAGCAACGAATGATCGGGGTACAAGAGGAAGAACATGTGCTCAAAGCAACCCATGAGCACACTAGTAGCAGAAGCACTCAAGAGGAGAAGCTTGGTGGGTTTATAGGCAGTCGTGGCAGAGGAAAAGGAAGACAATCATTCAACAAGGCCACCATTGAGTGTTTTAAGTGTCATAGGCTAGGGAAATTCCAATATGAATGCCCTGATTGAGACAATAAAGCCAACTATGTTGAATTTAATGATGAAGAGGAAATTCTCCTAATGGCACATGAGGAGCAACAAATGCAAAAGGATGAACAATGGTATTTTGATTCTGGTTGTAGCAATCATATGACAGGAAACAAAGCATGGTTTCTAAATTCGGAGGAAGAATATTCCAAGACAGTAAAACTTGGCAATGATACTCATATGATGGTGGCAGCAAAACGTAGCATTCGGATGCATGTTAATGGCATCACCCAGGTACTGACTGAAGTATATTATATTCCTGAACTCAAAAATAATTTGCTAAGTATTGGACAACTACAAGAAAAAGGTTTAGCCATTATAATTTCATATGGCTCCTGCAAGGTGTTTCACTCTATAAGGGGTTTGATTATGGAAACCCATATGAGTGGGAGTAGAATGTTCTATGTTACAACATCTATGACTCATACACAATCACTGTTTCTTCAATTAGAAACCAGTGAAGCTTATTTATGGCACTGTCGCTTTGTCCACCTAAATTACAAAGCGTTGAGTATCCTGGCTAAAAAAGAAATGGTGATAGGCCTATCTGCTTTAGTCCATCCGCAGAAAACATGTTCTACATGTTTGGCTGGAAAACAATCCAGAAGTTCATTTCCAAGCCACAGTACCTGGAGAGCATCTCAACAACTACAACTAGTATATTCGGACATATGTAGACCTATCCAACCAGTTTCAAACAACAATAAAAGGTACTTTCTAACATTCGTTGATGATTTCACTAGGAAGACTTGGGTATATTTTTTGCATGAAAAATCATAAGCATTAGAGAAGTCCAAGATGTTCAAGGCACAAGTTGAGAAGGAAGCAGGAGTTCCTATACTTTGCTTACGTACTAACCGAGGTGGAGATTTTCTCTCTAATGAGTTTGAAGAATTTTGTCACACATAAGGAATTAGAAAACAATTAACCACCCCTTACACTCCTCAGCAAAACGGTGTAATCGAACGAAAGAATAGAACGATTATGAATGCAGTTCCTTCTATGTTAAAAGAGAAGCATGTTCCCAAGGTGCTTTGGCCAGAAGCTGTCAAATGATGTGTGCATATCCAGAACAGATGTCCAACAGTTGCTGTAGAGGATGTTACTCCAGAAGAAGCTTGGAGCGACAAGAAACCAGTGGTGAAACATTTCAAAATTTTTTGGTGTGTGGCCTATGCACATATCCCAGATCAGAGAAAAGAGTGAAGTTGGATGACAAAAGCAGAAAATGTATTTTTCTGGGCATGATAAGTCCAAAGCTTGGAGATTGTATGATCTAGTCATAAAAATTGTGGTCATTAACAGAGATGTAATTTTTGAAGAAAAAGAAAGTTGGGACTGGAGTAGTTTGAAGCCAGAAACTCAGCAAGAAGAGATAATTTATGAAGCAGAAAATGATACTGCAGCAGAAGATGACACTGCAGCAGAAAAAATAGCAGGAAAAATAGTAGCTGATGTTGATACAAGTGAAAACAGTGAAGAAGGCAGCAGTACAAACCTTGACAGTACCCAACCGGTTCATCTCAAGGAAGGAATGCACGGGTAAGAAGAGTACCTAGGTGGTTGGTAGACTATGATACAAGTGCAAGTCTGCCAGAAGAAGAAAATTTGGCAGCCATGTTGGTGACTGAAATTGACCCAACATCATTTGAAGAAGCAGTTAGGAATACACATTGGAGAAAGGCTATGATGAAAGAAGTAGAAGCTATAGAGAAGAATCATACATGGGAACTCACATCACTACCAAAAGGAGTTTCACCAATTGGAGTTAAATGAGTTTTTAAAACGAAATTAAATGCAAAAGAGAAGGTAGAAAAACACAAGGCAAGGCTTGTAGCAAAAGGATATGCACAAAGACACGGGATTGACTACATTGAAGTTTTTGCTCCTGTTGTTTGAATGGATACCATTAGATTAATTTTGGCAACTGCTGCTCACTTTAGTTGGAAGGTGTTTCAACTTGATGTCAAGAGTGTCTTTCTTAATGGAGAGTTAAAAGAAGATGTCTTTGTTCTACAACCTAAAGATTTTGTTAAAAAGGGAGAATAAGAGAAGGTATATCGATTGAAGAAAGCTTTGTATGGCCTCAAACAAGCACCCTGAGGCTGGTACCACAAAATTGAGACCTACTTTGCACAAGAAAAATTTGAGAAATGTCCTAGTGAACACACTTTGTTCACTCGATCACAGGGAGATAAAATTTTAATTGTTAGTTTATATGTTGATGATTTGATATTCACTAGAAATGATGAAATTATGTGTGAGGAATTTAAGCAGTCCATGATGACTAATTTTGACATGTTTGATTTGGGCATAATGAGTCACTTTCTTGGCATTAAGGTTAAACAATATTCTACTGGTATATTTATTTGTTAGAGGAGATATGCATTAGAAATTCTATCACGTTTTGGAATGCAGGATAACAAGGCTGTGAAAAATCCCATGGTGCCAAGGACTCATCTGACAAAGAATAGAGAGAAACAAAGTGTTGAAAAAACTTTGTTTAAGCAACTAGTTGAAAGTCTGATCTATTTGACTGCCACTAGACCAGATTTAATGTACACAGTGAGTTTACTCAGCAAATTCATGACTAATCCCACTACAACACATTGGTGGCAGCAAAACGCATTCTGAGGTATATCCAAGGAACAACTGGTCTTAGAATCTGGTACAAGAAGGGGACTAATAGTTTAAGACTATTAGCTTTTTCAGATAGTGATTATGCCGAAGACTTGGATGATAGAAGAAGCACTTCTGAGTATGTGTTTATGCTAGGGGCAGGGACAATTTCTTGGGCATCCAAGAAGCAAAATGTGGTAGCTTTATCTACAACAAAAGCAGAATATATAGCAATAGCTCTATGTGCTTGTTAGTGTATTTGACTTAACAGATTGTTAGAACAGATTGGGCTTAAAACTAAGACTAAAGTTGAGATTTTGTGTGATAATAGCTCTACAATACAATTTTCCAAACACCCAATATTTCATGGAAAAAGTAAACACATAGATATAAAGTTTCACTTTCTTCGGGACTTGGTGAATGATGGAGTAATCAAGTTAAGCTTTTGTAGCTCTCAAGACCAGTTAGCTTACGTTATGACAAAACCTCTAAAGTTGGACCAGTTTAAGAGGCTTCGTAATTTGATTGGAATAACTAGTGTAGATGCATTAGTTTAAGGGAGGGATTGTCAGGGTCTTTTAAGGGTTTTAGCTATTTATTTGTTATGTTTTTGGTTGTTGCAGAACTTTCTCTTATTTTGTAGGGTAGTTCCAATAAATTAGGAATCACACTCTAATGTGTGATCCAACCGTTTTGCTTCGGTGTAAATGACTATAAATAATTTGTTTTATTATTTGAATGATAAATTTTGAGTGTTTTCTCTCCAAGCATCCTATTTCTTTTATTTACCTTTTATATTAACAATTAGTAGCTACCTACAAAATTATTTGTATGCATTTTCTTTACAAATAATTTCATATGAAATTACATATAAATATGTCTATGTATAATTTACATATATATGAACATTTAATTTACTTATGAATTTTCACACTGTGAGATGTTTGTTATTAATGTGAAAATTTAATTTGAGACCAATAGTACATATGCGTTTGTATAAATATTTTTTTAAGTGTTGAAATATGGTGGATGTGGATGAGATATCATAAATTAATTGAGCAACATTTTGTTTGAAAAAATATAGCATTTGAATAACATACAATAATAGCATTTTTTTAACGTACTTATTGGAATTTTTGAAACCTACAATGACGACGGAAGCTGAAAAAGGTTGTGCTAGTTTTGTTTGAATGTTGAATGATAGCAATGGTCAATAATAGAGAAAACCTAACGAGTTTAAAGCTCCGACTCTTTAATCATGTCTCTACTTTAGCCCCCAAAAATGCATCATTGCAATTGTGGGGATCATGCTCCAACAAGACCACACTAAAAACAAAGAGCAAAATCACAGGACCTGTCAAAAACAATAGTACTTTTTTATCAGAAAATAAATAATAACATGAGTTTGGTGTAAATAAATTGATAAATTTACTAATAAGTTATAATTCTGATATTCATTGACCATGTAGAAAATGTTATATGTAATATTATTAAATTACACCAAATATTATATTAATTAATTGGCTTGAATGGAAAAGGTGTTTGAAGGAAGATTAGTTATCATTACAAACTTATGATTTGATTTAAAGGATGGGAGCTGTCCCATTTAATATAATCCACACTTATGTTTAGTTATAAATAATTCCTTTTTTCATAATCATAATTGAATATTATGAGGAAAAGAACACCATCACCAAATAATGTTAGTTATTAAGGAGTTAGGTATTAGGATATCATTTTTATTGCTGTGATCTTTATCTAATAATAATGATAATTATAAGTGTAAATATAATTGTTTATTCTAATAGTATACATATCACATTTCTTTCTATATATATGGATGGCAATTTACTCCGAGTATCGGTATCTGAAAAAAAAAAAAAAAAAGTAATTTATATATTTTTTAATTAAATTTAATTAAAAATAAAATAAAATTATATTTTATTAGTTTAAATTTAATTAAAATTAAACTAAATTTACATTTAATTTAATTTATATTATATTATATATATATTTTGTAATTTTACTTAAATTTTATTTTTAAAATGTATTAAATATTTTATTTATTTTTTGCGGGTATCTGCGGATATCCGCGGGTTTTTTTTAAACAAATACCCTAGTGAATACGATTTTATCCGACGAGTCGGATTGCGAGTAGACACTACCGTAGCCGACCCGACCCGTTGCCATCCATATATATATATATATATATATATAATTTCTTAAGCCAAAAAAAGAATATATGAAAAAAAAACCCACATACGTGGAAAATATTAAAGAAAATTAAACTAATTTTTCCCATATAATCTCTATTTTTTATTTTAATGACATTCTTCTTTTCAATAAATGGTAGCTCATGTGTG